AGAAAGCGTCGAGGACGTTTTTAAAAACTGTTCTTGAAAATTAAATACGATAAATATTAAGGAAAAGGAAAATATCGTAGAACATTCCTGTAAAAGTGAGAAAGGGGGAGGGTCAAGGCATGGCACCGGTTTAACAATGCTTGATAATAGCATAATATTTACATGTGATTTAACAATGTCTCAGAATAATTTGTATGAAAAAGAACGAACTATAAATTTTAGAATATAACATAATTATAAAAAATAATAAAAATATTAATAAAAAGCTGGATTTTTTTATTGCTCATACCTCATACCTTATACCATGGAGTATCACAGATGCCAACTGCTCCGGACACGCCAAAATAATTAAAAAAAACGGTAAATAACTGCAAAGTAAATTTTGCAAATATTTGACTATTTTTGCTTGCTTTTCAAAAGGTGTAGCATGACATACGTACTATAAAGTGGTGAATTATATGAGTCTACGAATTATTTATAAATAGAGGAGGATAAAAATCTACTAAATTGAATTTATTAAGCCAAGAATCACAATTGATAAACTACCACTTTAAAATATATATTTGCTGTCCGGAGCAAGTTGGCATCTCTGGAGTATATGTGGGTAAAACTGTTTTTCCCGAAAACTATTTGATATTGTTGAAAAATGCGAATCTGCTATTTCGCGCCGTCAAAGGCTCACAGACAGCACAGAGGGCAATAAGACACATCCGGAAACCTGTTAACCCTTTCAATACGGCGAAAAATCAGCAGGGGTGAAAGCGACACGGAAAAGAGGAAGGCTGGTAGTAAAACCATTTCAGTTATAGCTAGTTTTGGGAAGGAGTTTACCTATTCTTTTTTTTAAATTTTTCAAGAATATCTACTTTATCTTGGAAAAGAAGCAGTTTTATATATATGCCAGAATTATAAAAGAAATCTTGATAGTTACAGATATTTCATTTTTTTCGAAAAAAATGCTGGAATGAAATGTTTTACGTACCAGGTTTTTCTCTTTTCCGTCTTGCTATATAAGGACTTTCACCCATGGACTGGGGCAGCACATCTTCTCACAACTTTAATCCAGGGGAATTCCCCATCCAACTGATGTACTACTGAATCAACTCATGCCTCACCTCATCATGGACTTATTATCTGATCCTAACGTTGAACTGTATATGACCTCTAGTCTAAATGCCAAAACAGTATAGATGAATCGGTTAGAAGCGCTTAACGCCGAATTCCACTCATATCAATCAAAATCATTCAGACTGGGACAGCTCATGTTCCGTCCGGTGCGAAAGGGTTAAACGACAATTTACTGGACAGGTGTGCTGGTGCGAACAGTCAAAACATCAACAAACCTCTAATGTCGCTTATTTGGACGTTTTCTCCGAATCATACCTATTCTGGTAAAAATGTGTCCGAAATCGCTTTTTAATTCTCTACGATGATCTTCAACTGCAGTATCATGTAGATTGCCAGCATGATGGATGTCATGGGTATTCGAATTTGTAACTCAGCTTTTACGTTTTGCAAAATACGTAAAATAGATCGCCTTGTATGCACAGAATACAGTACCTCTATACCAGCAAAGAAGCCAGATCTGCCTCCCTAGAGGGGAAGCAGCTCACGCCAATAATATGCATCAGCTCAAAGAATACGTACTGTGTTCTACAAGCATCGCCAATTGATGATAAGTTCCAAAAAACGAAGAGAAAGGTATAAACATTTTAAATGCAATCTAGATGATTTTAGATGTAATATTAAGAAGTTATAGTTAAGAATCAATAATGTAATAGTAGGGAAAAACTTTAATAGCTAGAGTTTTTTAATATACTTTTCTAATAATGAACTAATAGCTTTTTGTAAACTAATAGCTTTTTAATAAATTTCTGACGCTGATTCTGAAAAGGACTTCCGTTATTGTCAATCACATCAAAGTTTCTTAAAAAATAGTTTTTTTTATATATTTTTTAATCATTGTAATCAAGAATCAACAATCGTTTAATAAATTAAAATTTTAAAGTTATGTACCAATTCTTATGAATTTTTTACACTCAATCGAATAGAATTAATTACAAGCTCATAAGAAGCATTTGTTTTAAAGTTGTGCGCATTTTATGAGATTAAAATGTCTAAGAGAGAATGATTTGGAATAATAATTTTAAAAGAAGTTGAGTAAAATATTTCCCATATAACTTATAATACTGGGCGGAATAAAACTAATAGTTAGTTGTACAAACATTTGTTTAAATATAAAAACATATCCCATAGGATGAAATTAAAAAAAAATGCATATAACTTTGAAATAATAAATGTTTTTTATTTGACATTGATTTTTATTCAATTCAGCATTAAAATTGCATAAGAAACTATACTGATTATTTCCATAAAAATTTTAGATTTCCGAAATTCTCTAATTTTTGAAGCAATGGACCATAAGCAAGTACATAAAAATGCTCATATCCTTGAAACAAATTGTCATATAAACTTGCAATCGGATTTTATTTAATTCTGCTTAATATTCTAATAAGTAATAACAATCTGCTCAGTAAATAATTAACATAGGTAAATTGCGAAAAAATAATATGTACTGAAAAATAACAGTTTTTTGATCAAACATGAAAAAGTGAGATAGTTATTATGAAGTGTACTTTAAACAACCTCAAAATAAGCTTAGGTATAACTAAATTGACTTCATACACCTCAATAAATACCTGACTCTCTTCAGTTGAAATAACGTGAAATTTTTATACCTCATGAATACCTCTTTTGCTACAAGAATCAGAAAATCAACCTGGTCTACCTTAGAAATCACTTTATCAGTCTGATTGATATAAAGTGAATTTAAAACATCCTCAAAATTAGCTTAGATATAATAAAATGACTTTATACACCTCAATACCTTACTTTTTTTTAGTTGAAATAAGGTAAATTTTTCTATACCTCATAAATACCTCTTTTGTAACAAGTGTCAGAAAAGCAACTTGGTATACCTTAGAAATCACCCTATCAGTCTGGTTGATATAAAGTGTATTTAAAACAACCTCAAAATAAGCTTAGGTATAAATAAAAAGACTTCATACACCTCATAAATACCTCACTTTCTTTAGATGACAAAAGGTATATTTCTTATACCTCTAAATACCTCACTCTTGTTAGTTGAAGTGAGGTAAATGTTTTTATGCCTCATAAATACCTCTTTTGTTACAAGTGTAAGAAAAACAAACTGGTATACCTTAGAAATCCCTCACTAGTCCGGTTGATATGAAGCGAACTTAAAATAACCTCAAAATAAGCTTAGGAATAAATAAAATGATTTTATACTCCTCAATAAGAACCTCACTCTCTTTAGTTGAAAAAAGGTGAAATTTTTTATACGTCATAAATACCTATTTTGTTATAAGTATCAGAAAAGAAACCTGTATACGTTGAAAATCACCTCATCAGCCTGGTTGATTTGAAGTGAATTTCAAACAACCTTAAAATGAGCTGAAGTGTATATGAAAGAACATCGTGCACCTTAATTACAACCTTTTCGAGGTATAATTTTTATAGTTGTTTTCTCAGCAACCTTAAATGTACGTCATATATACCTCAAAACAACCTCGATAAATCAAAAATACTTCAAATATACCTTAAATTTTTGCAAGGGTTGTTTCAATTCAATGTCAGTATTTTTATTCAAGTTGGTTTTTTGGTTCGTTGGAGCATAATACAATTCCCCAAAAACGCTATCTTGATCAAATATAATTCCAACTTGTTCAACTCTAGCGATAGAAGGTCTCAATTTATTTACATAATTCCCGATATAAATTTTTATAAATAAATGAAAATATTTAACAATTTATTTACTTAATAATTGTTAATAAATAACAATTTATTTACATAATTCCTGATGGAAAAATTGTTGGAGAAAAACTTGGTGTGCAACAGGGCTTAGAGCTACATAAGAATGAAAGGGCTACCTAAACAGGTCTCACCTGTGAATATAACTTTTTGTAGGTCGCGTCGAAGTATACATATGACAGAATTCACTGTAAAATAAATGTGAGAAGAAAATGAGACAAGTCGCAATAAATACTCGCGTGATTTAAGGAAGACATGTCGTGAAATGTTTCCCGTGAGATTTTCAAATGATCAAAATCACAACAAATTTGAGTTTTTCAATTAAATCTGCAGTCGGTTTCTTTCTACAAACTACAAATTTTATACAATTTAATAATGCAATCAGAATTTTTTTAAATTTACTCGTATGAATGCTAAGTGACCGCTAAGTTCCTCTCCATTCTACATGCTACAGCGTAGGGAGTGATTAAAAAATATTTAAATTTTGATTTCTCAGGAACTATTCAACCGATTTTTCTCAAAGTTTGTATTTTGTCACGTAAAATTATATTCTTTAAAATGAAGCAAAAAATAATTATATCTTACAATTCCAAATTTTTTCGACTGTTATTGAATAGAATAATAAAAAATAATATATGTTTAACTTAAAATAATAAATATTTAAATATATGAATATTTTTGAACAATAATTGCATGCAAAAACTTTTCAATTTGCTTAAAATGTTTTCGAGGTATAGCGAAATATGGAAAATTTGAAAATTTGCGTAAAATATTCTCAAAGTATAGCGAAATATGGAAAATTTGAAAATTTGCTTAAAATGTTCTCGAGGAATAGCAAATTATGGAAAATTTGAAAATTTGCTTAAAATGTTCTCGAGGTATAGAGAAATATGGAAAATTTGCTTAAAAGGCTCTCGAGGTATAGCGAAATATGGAAAATTTGAAAATCTGCTTAAAATGTTTTCGAGGTATAGCAAATTATGGAAACTTTTGAAAATTTGCTTAAAATGCTCTCGAGGTATAGCGAAATATGGAAAATTTGCTTAAAATGTTCTCAAGGTATAGCGAAATATGGAAAATTTGAAAATTTGCGTAAAATATTCTCAAAGTATAGCGAAATATGGAAAATTTGAAAATTTGCTTAAAATGTTCTCGGGGTATGGATAAATATGGAAAATTTGATTCGAACTTTGGAGCGCACTACTGACCAAAATATTGTTGACCTAACTGTACCCCCCCCTCTCTCTATCAGTAAAGAGAGAGGAAATTTAAACGAGGATAAATCACTAGGGTACCAAGCGAGTGTGTTCCCTAAAGAAGGTAAACCCCTGAGGAGTTTCAAGTTAATGAGGGCTGATTTGGAGAAGTATGTAGACGTTACTTCTGATAGTGTACGCAAATATAAGATTTAATAAAATTCCAACAGATATGACGCCCTAACTATTTAGTAAAACATACACCTGAAGCAGGCTTAATTCTTTCATCGTTAAATTATTGAAATAGAACATAAATAGATGTATTAAAGAATTAATATTTAGAAAATTAAAATTTCCAAATTTAAAGCTACCAGTTAAATAAAAAAAATATTTTATTAATTTAAATTTACTTCCTAAAATTACTATTAAATCATCTTTATAATTATATACCTGAGCAATGGCTCATCATACTAATTTTCTAATTTCAATTCTAGGAACAAAGACCCCAAGGTTACACCAGAAGGATCTGCAACACATGATGAAGAGGTAGCCTCAGGCACCTCGACCAAACTACAGGATTAGGGCAGAGCTACGTGCACGAACTTTAACCCTATCAATATATGAACGCTACGTCCGTATCGTTAGATGATAACGTAAAGCGAATGTAGCAATAAAAAAAATAAAAACAAAACATCAATTCTCGTGTTGTTGGCTTCTTAAAAAAGTGTGGGTGAAAGTATCCTACTTTTACAAGTTTTTCTGTTTAATCTGCTACTTATTCATAAAATTTTTTTTCTCCGAAAGTATAGAAGCTGACCGCCTTGTAATTATTATAATAATAATTATTAATGGCAAACCGATAGCAGAAAAATTTATTTTCTTAGATGGAGTTTGCAATTGATATGGAGATAACTTATTAATTTACAGTTTTATACTGTAGCGCAATATCCTTTTGAATAAAAATTATTTTGACGAACTATAATAATTTTGCTTAAGAAACTGTGTTTTGTTTGCAATTTCAAGTGTTTTAAAAGAACTCCAAATGTTTTAATCTTACGGTTATGCATTGGCTGATTCTATAGCCCGATCTGCCAGTTCTTCCTTAACCCCTTGGGGACGGATGATTCAGAAAAGCATTCGTACAAGATCAGAATCAAGTTGTAATTAAATAAAAAACGGTAACTTAAATGTAGTCTTTGCTGATTTGACAGACTTACTTTGCTTTTACTTTAATTACTGTTACTTTAATCATATATATAATCAATGTTAATTCAAAGCATAACTAAATAGTTTTATTTTAAGCAAAGTATTGGTGAATTAAATAAATCAAACAATTATAACTTCTCCCACAAATAAACTAACTAAGAAATACTTTGATTACCAGCTTTACATTTTTACCCTGATTGATAAGGTTTTATGCTGTCACGTATTTGTGACAGTCGGCGCGAAAGGGTTAATAATATCTTTACCATTCTCAGACATTAAACTACATATTCGGCAGCTTATCGTGTCCCTTTGGCAGCAGCATGTACTGAAAATTTAGGCAAAAAAAAATAAGAAAATGAATAAAGACGAATAAAAAAATACCTTTTTGAATATAATGTGTAGCTTTCTAATCAATTTAAGATCCGAATTCCCAGCACCAAGATTAGGTATAAGTAAGCATAACTGCAAGACCAAGATAAACTACTTGCTAAATGCATCAAGAATTTGTTCCTCTGCTGAGTTATCATTACTATATACAAGGGGTGGTCAACCTGATGCTCGCGAACCACATGCGGCTCTTTGAAGGATCATTTGTGGCTCTCGATATATGTACCCGAGTTTCCTTTCCATTTTTGTGCTATTATATTTTTAAAAAATTATTATCGTTCCGTATGTGTTTGAAAATGTCTTTTAAATTACTGAGAACAAATAGACTAAGTGCAACGTTGTTCAATTCAAGGTGAGTGTTTTCCATTTCCAATACAATTATGACCCAAAAAGCATCTGGAGAATTAGAATTAATATCGATGCAAGAAGATTACAAGACTCTAAAATTAAAATATAAGTTGACGTCGATTACTGAATTTTGGAAATTTGTACCAGAATCGAAGTATCCTGAATTAAAAAAGGTTGATTGTAGAATTATTTCAATATTCGGAACAACGTACTTATGTGAATCATTTTATTCCACTTTAAAATTCGCGAAATCCAAACACCGATCAGTATTAACTAACCAACATCTCAAATAATTACTAAGAAGTGCTGTCACCAATTATTCACCAAATTTTAAAGAATTATCAAGAGAAGTAAAATAAATGTGCTTAATTTTTAATATTTAAATTCGATGCACATATTTTGTACTTTCATTTATATGTTTTCTATAAATATAATTTATGTAAAAAAAAATTAATACCTTTTTTGCATACCTTTTAAATACGTATTTAATTGCGGCTCGCGAAAAATTTCATAATTTGAAAAATGGCTCAACTGTCAAGGAGCTTGGCCACCCCTGCTATATACTTTTCAAATAAATGAGGGCTGATTTGGAGAAGAATGTAGGCGTTACTTCTGATAGGGTATGCAAGTATTACCTTTAATAAAATTCCAACAAATATGACGCTCTAACTATTTAGTAAAACATGTACCTGAAAAAGGCTTAATTCTTTCATCGTTAAATTATTGAAATAGAGCATAAATAGATGTATCAAGGGATTAACTCTTAGAAAAATAAAATTTCTAAGTTTAAAGCTACCAGTAAAGTAAAAAAATATTTTTTTAATAGTACAAATTTATTTCATCAGGTTTTGTATGAATTTTTGTTTATTTAATGATAATATAAACGCTACGTCCGCTTCGTTAGGCAATAACGTAAAGCGTATGTAGCAACAAAAACATTAAATCTCGTGGTGGTGCGGTGGCTTCTTAAAGAAGTGTGTTAATCCTAATTTTACAAATTTTACTCTTTAATCTGCTACTTTTTTAAGAATTTTTTTTTCAGAAAGTATAGAAATTGACCTCCTTGTAATTATTATATTTATTTTCTTAGAAGGAGTTTGCAATTAATATGGGGATAAACTTATTAATTTACAGTTTTATGCAGTTGCGCAATATCCTTATGAATAAAAATGATTTTGGCAAACTATAATAATTTTGATTAAAAAACTGTGCTTTGTTTGCAATTTCAAATTTTTTCAAAGAACTCCTAATGTTTTAATCTTACGGTTATACGTTGACTGATTCTACAGCACGATCTGTCAGTTCCTCCTTAATAATATCTGTACCATTATCAGACATTAAACTACATATTCGGCAGCTTATCGCGTCCCTTTGGCAGCAGCATTGGGACCTTCAGACTCAAAATAAACTTTATAACATCAGAACAGATCTAGACCCCTAACCTGTATTGCATCTACGCAATGCTATGAAAAAATTTTCTCAACGACATTACAAGTTGAAACCAATGCATAGAATATTAATATTTATACTTGACGTCTAAAAATATTGTATTTAAGAAAGCTGAAGTGATAGAAAAAGGAGATCCATCTGGCGTTTAAGAAAATATGTAGACCACTTTTTGTAGCCGGGCATTAATAAGCTAATTAGTCTCATATTCTCCTAGGAGTCTTCATACTGACTGTAACAGCAGCAAATCGTTGCAATGACTTTACGCATGCGCACTTCTTTCGTCCTCCCTCTGTTGCAACAGCCAGCTATCACCGTCTCACTGGTTTCAAGAATTGGATGGCATACCTGCCAACATTCACTCTTTTCGAGAATGGATTTTCCAAGTGGTAGTAAAACAATTACCTAAAAACTATATTCTTTAAAAATATATTTATATTTTAATCAGGTTCAAAATCGCTATCGCAGCGACTAATATACTTTTATATATTTGTTGTAATTATTTATATGTAGTGGTGGTCAAACTGATTTAAAATTATTATTATAATTCAAAAATTTTAGTGAAATATCATGAATTTCGCGAGCACTTTAAAAATGAAAATAAAATCTTCCGGGAAAACCGGAAGAGTTGGCAGGTATAGGATAGGGTTCAATTTTCGTCGCTGTTGCAGACTCAGAGATTCAATCCGATTCGTATATATTTCTAATCTCAAAGGGAAAATACAATGAAATCACGTATGATTTTAATGTTAGCATTATTCAAAACATAGTGACTTATCTATATATATATTTCTCTTACACGGCACCAAAAAAAAGCCTCATTACAACTCCCCGAATAGCAACGTTAGAAAATCGACCAATGATTGCTGCTAAAAATGTCACATGGCAAATGACACATGAGGTGGCTCAACATATAGCGCTTTTGAAAACGGAAACAATAACCAGAGTGAGCATTATCAGGTTGTTCAATTCAGATTCCTGCCCTAAATACATGATAATATTTAATTTAAACTGGCTCTGAAAAATATAAATGCTGTAGCCAGCCATAGAATTTTTTGAAAGTTAACTTAGCAACATAAAACAAAATGACATAGAAGCGCAACTAGATCAAAATTATGATACCTGAGCGTTTGACGTAACAAATCCTTCAATTCTATAAGTGTTGTATCGCCAAAAATGAGTGAAAGCCCTTATATAGCAAGACGGAAAAGAGAAAAACCTGGTACGTAAAACATTTCATTCCAGCATTTTTTTCGAAAAAAATGAAATATCTGTAACTATCAAGATTTCTTTTATAATTCTGGCATATATATAAAACTGCTTCTTTTCCAAGACGAAGTAGATATTGTTGAAAAATTTAAAAAAAGAGTAAGTAAACTCCTCCCCAAAACTAGCTATAACTGAAAAGGTTTTACTACCAGCCTTTCCTCTTTTCCGTCTCGCTTTCACCCCTGTCGCCAAATGCCCAGATTAACAATTGTGTTTTTAAGGAAATTTTACAACTTCATATTAAACTTCTGTTGTGTGTCTGAATACTGACATTTAGAACAAAATTAAGGTTTAGAATTGCCTCGGAGAAATTTGAATTGTTAACAATGACTTAAACAAAAAGTTTTATTTTAACTGATAAATACTATATTATAATTTTAACTTTTTCTATGACTATACTCATTTTCTTACTCTTTGTTTTTTATACATTTTATATTTTTGTGATAAAATAAAGAACTTATAGTTGTTCTGCTTCTGAACACTGATGAAAACGCAAAATGATGGGCTTCATCAACAATCAAAAATATATACATTTATTTTACAAATTCCATATTAGGGTGGCGCCATTCAGAGAATTAAAAATACAAAATTATCTTTAGCGAAGCCGATGCTTTACATCCGGCGTTCAGTGGCAGACTACTATTTCATATTGTTTTACAACACATGGCTTTAGCCCTTTTGTGGGAAAGACTTTAAAACAAAACTTACAACAGTTACTTTTCTCAACAACTGAAATTTAGAATAGTGTGATTAAGAAAAATATGTGAACTGTTTGCAATTTCAAATTAATATTGAAATGCACAGGTTTAGAATTTTCTACAGTTAAAGTTTTCGGAACTTCAGTGTTCAAAAAAGTATACAAAAGCTAGACGTTAAGAACGTATCCAATGACCGAGCAAAGCGAGGATTGGATTGCGAAGCAATCCGAAAAGAACTGCGAAAGCAGTTCCGGGGGTTGACGAGCGCCAGCGAGCAGGGGGCGAAGCCTCCTAGTGTTTATATAAAATATTTGAATACATTTGAAAGATTTTTTTGTCATACATTAAAAGACATTTTTATTAGAAAAATGTATTTTAAATGTTCTTATTTATGCAAACCTTAGTTGAATTTTTTATTAAATATTTGTAAAATAATATAAATTTTTAAAAACATTGGTTAAAAATATATTGATAGGTCTTGATTTAGAACAGTGTTTCTAACCTCATATATTCCTAAAATAAATTTTTAAAATTCTAAAGTGGGATTAATCTGCTAATCTCAATTAGATTTAAGTTATTTTTAGTTCGTTTTGTTAATTATGAAAAATGTACTGAATAGAAAGTTTTCTTTATTTAATTTTCTGAAAGTATTTTGAATTAATTGTGAGAAACTAATAGCATAAATCTTTTCTTCTATTAGTTTATTTCACACTTTTAATTGTTCATGCACAAGTGAAGAGAATATATATATAAATGCATATCTGTCTGCCTTTTTTTTTTTTTTTTTTACTTTTTATTGCAGATATTCTCGAATGGTAGTAAAATAACTATTAACAGTCAATTAGGCAGACAATCGCTTATGAATTTTGCTAGAACATAGCTGAACATTCAAATAAATATCAAACTGTTTAAATTAATTCTTTTTACACTAGTGAAAATAACTTTAAAGTGATTTTATTAAACCATGAATAAAAAAGGAAAGCGTTGCTCTTGAATCATTAAAAAATAAAAATATAATGTTCAGCGAAATAAGGAAAAGGTGGCGGCTATTTAGCAGTTTCTAAAAGGTTAGAAAGCAGTATTTTTTAATTAATTAATTTTTATTTAATTATTTTTAATAATATATTTTTTCTGGTAGAACAAATTTCATTTTTTATTTGCTATTAAAACGTAGTTATTATTAAAAATTAGAGCGATTGTTTTATTAGAAAAGATTTTTGAAAAATTATGTTTCATAAAGAAATGCTAAGCAAAAGCTAAAAAGAAAAATACAAACTTTTTTAATTATAAATATATAACTGTCAGCAATTTTTACAAAAATTATTTTCAATTCAATTCTACTCTTGGTTAATGAAGGGACCATCAATCATGGGTGAAAGCCCTTATATAGCAAGACGGAAAAGAGAAAAACCAGGTACGTAAAACATTTCATTCCAGCATTTGTTTCGAAAAAAATGAAATATCTGTAACTATCAAGATTTCTTTTATAATTATGGCATATATATAAAACTGCTTCTTTTCCAAGATAAAGTAGATATTGTTGAAAAATTAAAAAAGATAATAAGTAAATTCCTCCCCAAAACTAGCTATAACTGAAATGGTTTCACTACCAGCCTTTCCTCTTTTCCGTCTCGCTTTCACCCCTGCCATCAATGGGCAATTATTGCAAAAACTATCATTTTGAATGAAAAGTTTTGGAAAATTTCGTACGAAATTTTGATTATATGAAATTTTATAAATACGGCAATGGTGCACAAAACCGAGTCCTTAAATTTTCTCTTAATAATCAACTTCATAAACAGAATCGCTTAAATTTTTATGTGCATGAAATCAGATCGATCGCCGACCGGCCTGTGTAGGGGGCAGGGAACTGTCCTTGCATCAGAAAGGTCCTGGGTTCGAATCCCGGGCAAGGCATGGATGTTTCTTTCTCTCTCTGCGTGTTCTATGTCCTTTCTCCTTTGTGTGTGAATGTGACCCGCCCTATAAACGGGTTGTGGTTGTTTGAATGTGGCAGAAGTCGAATTCCTGGCGATAGATGGCGCCACTGAAGAACAGGAACAATCGCACCCCCACTGCCTAAGCAGGCATACGACAAAAAAAAAAGAAAATCAGATCGATCTTTAGCTTAAAAAATAAAACATTTTTAAGGAACAAAAAAGCTGTATTTTTTTAGTGTAAATTGGTTATTCTATGGAAATATGCTAAGACTCGGTATTGTTCATCATTATCGGTTAAAATTGGGTATATATAGAAATGATGAAAAAGAAAACGCCTTTCTTCCCACGTAAATATTTTCATAGAAACAAAAATAATAATTTGATTTTATTGCTCTGAGAAACTTTCGGGAGTTTAATAAATCAAGGAAGATAACTAACATATTTGGAATTCTTCGCCAATTAAGTGAAGGGACCAGATTCAAGAACAGAAATTACTAATAAAATTTTTATTACATTTCTCTGTAATGCTATAGACTTCATGTGTCTATCGTTGATAGTTGAGGTACCATAAACAATTTTCCAGGAATTTTTATTTGGAGTGTTATAAAACATACTACCAGTGGTTCTGTGAGACTGACTATGCCTGACTCAATGCGACAATACCATTCAGCAGGAAAAAGAAATCTAGCATATTTAAAACGTGATGTAATCCTTTTTTTTATATATATATATATNAAAAAAAACTCTAAAATTTGAATTATATATATATATATATATATATTGTATATAATTTTTGCAAAATGTAATTTTATGCAAAAGTAAAACATAAATGAAAAAAAAAAAAACACCCACACATTCTTGTACTTCTCATAAAGTAGTATCACATGGTCATATTATAAAGGGTCACTAAATAATAAATGGTGTTCATTTAAAATGTTGTGTAAGTGGCTCCACTTGGAAATTCCATAGAGTGAAATATTTATCTCATAAGTTCCTATCAACTTGCGAATGTAAGAAGAAACTACATTGAAGCATTTGCATATGAAAATAAAATCTTTTTTATGACTTCTATATAAAATGTTAAGTTGAAAACTTTATTTATTTGTAATATTCAAAATATTGTTCACAATAATGTACTGAAAAAAATTATTTTTCCTAATAAGACTTTTGGTAATAAAATAATTTCTGTTTTTCATTTTTCCTACTTTCTTTATTTGAATTATTTATATTCCAGCAATTTAGTTTATTTATCAAAATAAAAATGCGTGTTATAGCCGGAAAAAATTATACAGAAAAAATGCATTTTTTTCCCATAAAAAGAAGAGTTAAGTATTAAAAATTATAAGACAAAAATTATAAAAAAAGTAAATAAATAATTTTATATAAATTATTGATACAATATTTATAAAAATGTGACGCAAAGTTTATTTCGGCAATTTATGAAGAATCTTGTACTGAAATCATAAAGTAATATAAATATAAAAAATAATATGTATGTACATAAAATAATTTTAGAAATACAAAAAATAACAATAAAATGAGCTATGAAACAAAAACTATAGGTACAGAAGAAAAGTGCGCATGCGCTAGCCAGGAAACAGGTTTGTTGTCGCATGCGGTGCGAAGGTACTTGCAATCACTTGCAACAGACACACTGCAACAGAGGAGGAACATGGTGTTTCGCATCGCTGTTGTGTTCGGTGTGTAGACACCAGGTTTAGTTGTGAGCTCCTAGGGAGATTGCAGAGAATACGAATGATGTGTGATTGAGAAGAACTGTAAACAACGGACTTTAATGAAAACATACCCTCTAACAACTATGGAATTTCGGCAGCTTTAGATTCCCCCCCCCCTCCCTATGGCAACAAAAGTGATGTAAGAAAACTTTTATTTAATATTTAGAGAATTTTGTCCACTACTGTATGTAAATAATGTTTTTAGGCATATCTCCGGTCACTTTAATTAATTGTCATGTTTTGAAGCTTTTATTAAAAATTTGTAAGTAATTGTAATTGTGAGAAAAGCTCAGTAAATATTATTAAAACTCATCAATTCGTTTTTTTTCTTCATTAAAATTCGAATTTTTTCCCCCAGCTTGTCTGATATGATGGTGGTCGTAATTGAAAAGGCTTAATATCAATGACTCCCAACGTCCAACATCAAACTAGCACGATTTCTTTACTTTAATCAATATTACATATATGAAAATATTAACACAATTTTTCAGTTATTGTACGGATTATTTGAAAGGTTTGATATTAATAAATTTGTATTTTCTTTAAAAAAATCGATAAAGGATTACAAGCTTTTTTCAGTCTTTGATGAAAAAATTGAGCGAGCGATAGGAGTTAAATAAATAAAAAAAATGATGCATAGTTTTTTTAATCCAACTTTTTTCCTTAGATGCCATTTACAACATTAATTTTGATTTCTAAGGAACTATTCAACCGATTATACTCTAAGTTTTTATTTTATCATGTAAAATTAGATTCTTTAAAATGACCAAACTTATGGGACCATATTTCCCAGGTTGCGGTAACCCCCTGTATGTCGAGGAAGGTAATCCAAACCCCCTGTAGGTCAGAAAATCGAATCAGTGGAAAAAGGAGTATGTTTTATTCAGAGAAAGTACGTTTTTATGTCTGATTTCGTAACAAATATCGTCTGCACTTATAACTCTGTATATTTGAGATCACCCCTTTGAGCTATCCTAGAACGTGAAGATACGATCATTATCCGGGGTTATCCATTCTTTCTCTCTCTCTTTTGATGTACTGATAATTAACACAAAAAATAAGTAAATTGATAAATAAATGAATAAAGACTGATAAAAAAATACTACTTTGTGTAGCTTTTCAATCAATTTAAGATCTGAAATCTCAGCACCTAGATTAGGTATAGGTAAGCTTAACTGCAAGTTGTTAAATGCATCAAAATGTACTCTTCATCTATTTGTTACATCTGCATCTACTCTACATCTACTTGTTGAATGCATCAAAAATTTGTTCCTTTGCTGAGTTATCATTACCTTCAAATTAATGGGGGCTAATTCAGAGAAGAATGTAGGCGTTACTTCGGATAGTGTATGAAAGTACCAGCTTTAATAAAATTCCAACAGATATGACGTTCTAACTATTCTGTAAAACATGCACCTGAGTCAACAACAACAACAAAGTCATGGAAGAGGTAGAAAGCAGCTTCTGTTGGGTTGAGCACCATACAGGTAGAAGTCTGTCTTGCCACTAACCTGGATAAATTGGAAAGTTTCCAACTAAGTGCTGCAAGAATAATTACTGGACTCAGACGTAGTTGCCCTAAGGAAATAGTCCTTTTTGAGGCTGATCTTCAACCCCTCCAAACTAGAAGAAAGGCTAATCTCACCAATTACTTCAACAAACTTTCTAGCTATGGTCAGCACAATAGAACCTCTCTCTACCTTAACAACTGGCGCAACAAACAGCGACTGAAGAAAAACAGTCCATTCAGTCATGCTGAACTTCTGCATTTGCCTTCTGAAGACGTTGAGCCCCACTCCTTAAAATCTTGTCTGAATCCTTCAGAGGGAATCCCCCGAGTCCATTTCCACTTCGACTTTTCTGCTCCGGTCACAAAGAAAGATCTTATTCCAGCTGAACTTAGGCAGCTAGCTTTGGAAATTTTAGGCGAGATTCCCAGTGACGCCGTAAAAATTTACACAGATGGTAGTGGACTCGGAAACCTAGCGGGTAGCGGCGTCTTCATTGAAAAATCTGAGCTAAATTACTCCATCTGTCTCCGTAATCCTGATTTCACTTCAGTCTTTCGAAGTGAATTAATCGCAATTGAACAGGGCATCGATGCTATAATCAACGAGAGTGACTTTGGAGATCTTTGGATCCTGTCGGACAGTCGCAGCTCCCTTCAACACCTACACAACTGGACTAAAGTTGGAGACAAAACAAGCATCTCCATCCTTCTTAAACTTCAACTTATTTCAAAGCACCACGACGTTCATCTTCAGTGGATACCATCCCACGTTGACATCTTTGGAAATGAGCAAGCGGATCGCTTGGCCAAGGAGGGCTGTAGTCATTTAACATCTTCGTCCTCAGCCCTTACCTTTTCTGAGTATCAATCCAAAATCAAAAGCCATTTATCAAAAAAGTGGAGGATCCCTCCCTCTCATCATTGGTATGCGGCCAAGGAACCGGGCTCTTCACTTGTTCATGTAGGTGATAGAGCATCTCAAACAGCTATTTCCAGACTGGCAAGCGGACACACGAACAGTCTCTCGTACTTTAAAGGAAGAAAGACTTATGCAGTCTGCTCTAAATGTGAAGCCCAGCAGGCCTCAGCAGAACATATCCTCGACTGCTTGGGCCTTTCCAAGGAGGACTTATATGCTTCTCCACTTCTTGTAATCGACTTTTTGAGGGTCAACAACTTACTGGATCTTGTCTGACCTCGTCAGACAATTAGAGGATAAGCAACAACAACAACATGCACCTGAAGCACGGTTAATTCTTTCATCGTTGAATTAATGAAATAGATCACAAATAGATGCATTAAAGAATTAAATATGAGAAAATCAAAGTTTCTAAATTTAAAACTACCAGTAAAATAAAATAATATTTTAAAATAATTTAAATGTATTTCTTATTTTTTTTCAAATGAGAGTACTTTCAAATTCTAATCTAATTATTAAGAACGCTACGCGCGCTTCGTTAGTCGTTAATTTTGAACGATAACGTAAAGCTCTTGTGGTAATAATCACAAAAACAGTAACTATCGTGGTGGTTGACTGCTTAAAAAAGTGTGGTGAAATTATCCAAATTTTACTATTCAATCTGCTACGTATTTATTAAAAAATCTTTTCAGAAAGTAAAGAAGTTGACCTCCTTGCAATTACTATAATTATAATGGCTAATAATATAATGTATTAATAATTATTATTGCCAATCTGATAGCAGAAAAATTTATTTTCTTAGATGGGGTTTGCAATTGAAATGAGAATAAACTTGCTAATTTACAGTTTTATACAGTAGCGCAATATCCTTATAAATAAAAATTATTTTGGTAAACTATAATAATTTTGTTAAAAGACTATTTTGTTTGTAATTTAAAACTTTTTAGAAGAAGTCCTAACGTTTTAATCTTGCGTTTATGAGCTGGCTGATTCTGCAGCACGATCTGCCAATTCTTTCTTAAAAATATCTGTACCATTCTCGGATATTAAACTACATATCCGGCAACCTATCGTGTCCCTTTGGTAACAGCATTGGACCGTTACTCGTAAGCACCATTTTACCCTCAGACTCAAAATAAACTTTTTAACCACAGACCAGATCTAGACCCCTTACCTGTATTGCATCTACGTAATGCAGATGTAAAGCTTGTGCCTCTTGTGGGCGACAGGATCAGCATCTCTATCCTGCTTAAATTAAAGCTCATTTCACTTAATCATGATGTTCATTTGCAATGGGTACCTTTCCATGTGAATCTCCACGGGAATGAAATGGCCAATATTCTTGCTAAGGAGGGTTGCAGGATTACAACAACTCCCCCTTCCACACTTACTTTTTTGGAGTTAAATTCTCTAAGAAAATAAAAAATCTCGGAGGAGTGGAAAACACCCCTAACCCATAATCGGTACAAGGGATCAAAACCGGGTTTGTCCCTTGACTTCCCGTGTGACAGACGTACCCGGACTGTTCTAACAAGGCTTGCCAGCGGTCACATCAAGTGCCTCACTTTCAACGAGGGCAGGAAAACCTTCGTCACCTGCACCAAGTGCCAAATTTAGCAGGCTTCTCCTGAGCACCTCATGGATTGCATGGGACTCTCTAAGGATGATCTCTTTAGCAATCCTCTCCTAGTCTTCGACTTCCTTTCAGTCAACGAACTCGTGGATCTTGTTTGACTCCGTCAGACAGTGAGGATAAGCAACAACAACAACAAAGCTTATTCGTCTGAGAATCGGTCACACTCAACTCACAAATCTTCATCTGTTGTTTGGAGAACCTCCTCCCAAATGCGATACTTGTAACGTTTTACTTACGCTTCCTCACATTTTAACTGTTTTTCCCTGTTTCAAATATCATCGTATTACCTTTTTTAATTGCACTATTTTATGCATAAAGGATTTGTTATTTTCAACCCATCCTCCAAACATTTTCGGATTTCTGCGAGCTATTGGTATTTTATATTGTACATAGCTGTTTTATCTGATTTGATTCACTCTTATTTATTATCCATACACCGTTTTACCTATTTCATATAACTACGCCTTTTATTGGATTTTACTGACTTTTAAATATATTCGTCCCGCTATTAACCATTTTATTTCCGTCAAGTCATTTTATAAAAATGAAGTTTTTTTTTAATGGCGGGCACTTGGGGATTGTCCCATTGGCCACAGATATGCCAGAAATGCTACTCTCTTCTCGTTACCCAGTGGGCACCTGTGGCGAAACCACGGCGGTGGAGCACCGTCGCCCACGTCACACAGCCACAAGCGCGTTTATAGGGCGGGTCACATTCACACAATCACACACAAAGGAGAAAGGACATAGAACACACAGAGAGAAAGAAACATGTCCTGAGCAGGATTCGAATCCACGACCATCGGCTCCGCAGTCAGGCATACTAACCACGGTTTAAACATAAGCGTTTATGTTTTTATGATTTATCGAGAAACTTTATTTACGTGCAAATTTTTAATATATATNTATATATATTAAAAATTTGCACGTAAATAAATAACATTTTCCGAAGACCGGCTGGAGAGGACAGTCCCAAACTTTACATTGTGGTCAGTGCTTTTGACAGTGTTCGGAATTTTTTCTCCGAGAGTTATGTGGAGTAAAATAGCAAGGAGTTATTCGTCTTGGCCACAATTCACAATTTTAAATCTACTCTATTAGTCTATTATCCATGGATTCTAAAGAATAGTCTTTATGTTAGGGTGTCATAGGTGTGCTAAAAAGACGTAACGCCCACTTTCTGCTTAAAATTCCCTTTGAAATTGTTAAGTAACGCCTACATTCTTTACAAAACGATTACAGTATAACGTTCTTTGTGATTTTCGGCACCAAGCATTAAAATTTTATGGTAGTACTGTAATTTTATGGAAGGTCCTGCAATCGGTACGTTCTTCTTGCAGTTTGTGCAATAAATCTACACGGAAATAGGTGCTGTGAGCTACCGTAAACCTAATGTTGTAAGCAAATAGTGTACTAAATGATACAGATTTGCTTGCAATACGCTAATGAGTTCACAATCATCATCTATCCGTAAATATAATTTTTTTTTGAACGTTGTTTGAAAACAAAATTGCTAAAAATTTTCAATTTTGATATTTTTAGAGAAACGTAAATTTGGTTGCAAATTGTATTTTGATATGTTCCACGTATGTTCCATGTTAATTTAAAAAAAATAATAATAAAACAATAAATAAATAAAAATAGAAAAAAAAAGCTGCATGTCAAGATAGATACTGAAGATCACAGTTTGAAAATCTATTTAGGGAAACATTGAGATAATTTATGCGCCATTAAGAAATTCGCAAATTTTCTAGGAAAAGTTTACACCGGTTTCTAATTTCTTGAGGATCAAGAGAAATATTGAAATCATAATCCCCGATGAGTTTTAATGAACAGTTTTAGAATAACTATAGTAAAAAACATCTCTTCCATTGTATAATTTTGGAAATAACTGTTTATAAATCTTTGATTATAGAATCGGACACACTAAATAAAAAATATATATAGGAGTACAATTCTATAAGAAATTTGTTCCTATGTGTATTAAATAACAACTTTATATTGATTCTGGCGCATAAATTATCTGAAACCATGTAGTAAGTTGCCAACCCCAACCCCTGAAAAAGCTTTGCTAGCGTTAGGAGTTGGGATTTAATGGAAAATAATTTCAACCACAACTTGTTGCATAGGGTAGTTGGTGGTTGCGATCTGAAGCAGTCTGTGTTATGTTGTATCGACGATCGAAATGAGTTACAGTGGGTTTAAAGCAGAACTCTCTACCTATGGTAACACTTCGCATGCTTTCACCTTTATCATTAGCGTGTTGAGAATCATAGAAAAAGTTAAATTAGTTTCTGTCTTGATTTTTAAGTTGATTACAAACTTTTAAGTTTGGAAATTATATGGAACTGAAAACTACATTGAATATAGTTTTAAAAGAAAACGACGAAGAAATTTAAAATATATGTCTTCAGAGATGCCAACTTGATCGGCTTTGTAAAATAGTATTTTCTAGTGGTAGCGAAATTTAAGTTACTTTTAGTTTAGTATATTTCATTTTAAGTAATTTTTTCACCACTAAATATCAAAAAATCATAAGTATGACATACCATACAACGTTAAAGCATCAGTCTACTGGTTACTATATTAAGAAGTAGGCGTAACTATCTTTCTTCAATGAATTTTACTATACAATTTGCTACCACTTTACTGAAACTATTCCAGAAAGCTGAGCAGTTGGCCTCCCTGCTGTCTTTGACAAATAAATACGATAAATATTAAGAAAAAGGAAAATATCGCCGTACATTCCTATGCAACTCAGAAGGGGGGAGGGTCAAGACACGGCACTGGTCCCAAGGGGCGTATTCAAGCGTTGTGATCGCGAATACAATATGTTTATATACAATATTTTGAAATTATATTAGAATGAGATTATTAAATCTTTTGCCATTATCAATACACTTGTTTTTTTTTTTTTCTATTTTTCCCATCGACCGGAGTTGGACAAAAATATGGCAACACTTCTACATTAACTTTACGTAAACATTCTTTCCTTCGACAGCAAATGTTTTGAATGATTGGCAAAATAAGGCAAAAGTGTTGACATCATTTGAAATATCATGCTTGAAGCGTTTTCAAATAATAATTCATACCTGCCAACTTTTACGCATTTGGCGTAAAATTTTATTTTTATATTTAAAGTGGTAGTAAATATATACTTTTTTTTCTTTTATGAACTTAATTTTTAAATGATTTTGATCACCACTATACTTTAAAAAATTAAGCATATATATTGATATGTGTTGCTATCATGGCAGTCAAATTTTGAGGGCAAAATTCTAAGGACCATGCTTGGGGCCCCAAGGGCAATAAGTAATAAATTGTTGAAAAAAGACATGAAAATAAAAGATATAGCTAACTATATGGCCACTCTTAATACGAAATTCTATAACAAAGCCCATGACTGCACTGATGCAAACTTCAATAAGATATTCGACACAGATATTATCAGTGAAAATTCAAATTACAGCCCACTCGCTGCATTTCTCTCATCAGATTGCATTCTATCTAAGTATTATAACATCCCATGATTCCTAATACACACTACACACGCAAACAAAACATCTACACCTGAACTCTGGTAAACCTGGTGAAGGAGCAACCTTGTTCGCAGGGTCCGATCCAGGGGAGCTAGAGATCTGTAAGCCTAAGAATAGTGAGCAACCCGGCACGA